GAGCGTATTCGCAGAAAATCTTAAAGCTATCATTTTTCTCACAAAGTATATAAACGTACAGTAATATGCTCAGAAGGAGCACGTAAAAACGTTTCCAAATAACCACATGTAAGACTGATGCTTAAAATGTTTAGGAAGAAATGGAATACTGGTGTGTATTTTTTCTTTAAACTACCAAGACCAGCCATATACAGCACAGTTTACATAATATGTTTATGTTCCTAAATTAATATCATTTAAGAGCATGTGAAAGGCATGGTGAATCTCAAAACTTGAGAATCTCACGCCAAAACGTGAGAGAATCTCAAAACTTACTTTGTATGTTTGGAAACGAATACGTGATCAGATCAACGAAATGCTGTGGTGTTAAAGTGCGGTATGATGCAAAATGATGCGGTATGACGTGTTTAGATGCGCCACAACAACCGTGTTGTACCGCGGCGTACCCCACTCATTTTGAATGGCTGCATCTGTACATGAAAGCATATGGGGTAAATACTTCTACACGAGTATGAAGAAGTGATACATAAAACAAGGATAATATGTTTAGTATAAGATCAGTTACACTAACTCGCTTATCAGTCTCATTGACATAATCAACATTCAGGTGCTCATAACTCACAACTGTTACTTAAATGAATTTAATTGGTGTCATCTTAATTCCCACGGGCAGTAATGACAAGGAATGATGGATATTGAATTATGTAGCCTTGTTCCAGAGGCCAGCAAGCTTGCAGACAATGAGTATAAAGCAGTTTTATCAATATGATCTCTCTTGGAAAGAGCCCCTTCTATATGTACTTTAACACTTTTTGACATATCAAATGGACTGAGAATCATTCTACAATGCACAGCCACTCTAATCCTTTCATAATCATTTTATGGACCTTTTGCTGTTTTAGGTTTGACTGTTCATTGTTTTCAAAGAATTGTGATACTTTTTTTTTCTAAATGTTATTAGGAATGTATTGAATGTTGGAAAAACCTGCTGTTTGAACTGCCCCCCTGGGGATGAAAGTACTTTGGATTGCATTTCTCAACTTAAACGCTCAGTAATCACACAGAAAATGGATGTGAACAGTACTGTAGACTTAGGTTTTCATGTCCTGGCCCCTATTACTATGGAAATGTATTGATTCTTATTAAATCAATACATTCCTGTACGTTGCAGACATTTCAGGAATTTAATCATTTAAAATAATTATCTTGTATCTCCTATTACAATTTACTAAATTTATTATGAATAATTATGTTCAGTAAAATTTGAGTTTTCTCTAAACCTGGCTTGTAGCTTATTATATAAAGAACTGTTGTGGAAGAAAAGCTCTTAGATTTAGTGTCCTGAGAGAACAGAGTGATTTTTAATTTTGAAAAAAATCACAAAGGACGTGTTACTAAATTTTAAGCACTTTTGAGCACAAATAGACAATTGACAGATTCATTTAAGAAATAATGTCCTACTTGAGAGAATAGAGTGTTTTAATGGCCAGACAGACACCACCTACCTCTCACTGTCAGGACCAGAGCTGCCAACACGCAGAGACTGATGCCCACCGCCATGACTGCTAGTGTGTCAGTGTCCTGTCTCCAGTTTCTCCTTTCTCTCCTCTCTCCCTCTGTCTGTCTCCTGCTCTGATATACACTCCTGGAGAGACACACCTCCTGTCCCTCCCTCCCTCCCTCCTCTGTTCTCTCTGTCTGTCTCTCTGTCCTCCTCTCCCTCAGGGGTTCACTGGGTATGCCCTGTTGAGTTCAGTAAAACTGCAGCTCAATGAATTTATAACAAAGAACCAATCAGAAATAAACACTCGGGACAGGGTAGGAAACACAGTGAGAGAGAGGAGTGTTGATTTTTAAATATTTGCACAGTTTTACTACACTTCTCTTTTACCTTGATCTCACTGTTCCACAATCTATAGATTCAAATACAATTTGCAGAAATTCTGTACTTATTTATTCAAACACAGTAATTCCAGTCTGGGAGTTAGCTGTAGGACTGCTCAAAAGTACTTCTGCATAACAATGTTGTCTAATGGCACAGACGATCATGAAGCTCTTATACTGTATGCTGTGGTGTGTTCAGAGGAATGTGTGTTTCAGTGTTCACCTGTAGTTCTGCAGGTACAGTGCCTACAGAGAATCCACACACTCTTTCTAAAGTAACACATCTTGTCACTTAACAGCCTGAATTATTTTTTCCATTATTTATACAGGGAGTGTTTTATATCCATCTCCAGCTCTGTGTCTTTCCACAGCTGTATCCTGGAGGTGTTTTGATCACTTCCTGTTGCCCATAGTTGTCTCTTTACTTGGAGATCCACTGCCCAGCAGAGGAGACCCACAAGACCAGCTGAGTTTATTCTGAAATCATCACAATCACAACAGGTGAACACAGCTGGAGATTAGTTAGCTTGTTGTGCGATTCAGAAGGCAAGTGGTTACACTACTTTACACACGAGAGTAAAGTAGTAGTAGAGACACTAATTTCGTGTTGCTCTCTAAGGGGTGTGAACACTTCTCCAAGCTATTTTTCTAGATTCCCATTTGGAATTAAATCTCAGAATGATTGTTTGTCTTTCACATGGAGATGTTTTGCTACAATGTGTAAATAAAGGAAAAACAAATTCAGATTCAATGTGTCTTGACTTCAGGCTGTTAGGCCACAAAATGTGTCTCCCAGGTCTTTTTCCAGCCTATAGCAATTTATATGAACATGATGAAGATCTTCCAGCATTTTATGTCCAGGGATCTTAAAACACTGAATTGTCCCTCCATGCCCTTTCCTAGTGAATAGTCTGTCTGGAATGTGCAACACTACACTTTGATTACTACACAAATGAACAATATCTGAATTATTCATTTCATTCTGTTATGTGCCTTTTCCAGGTGGCACATGTACAGTATAGTGGGCAAGTCTCTGGACGAGTCAGGTTTCTGGACTTGTGACTGAAGCCTGTGGGTTCAAGTTCCTGCTGCAGACACTGTAACATGAGTGAGGTACTTCAGCCCTGTGGCTCCAGTTCACCCAGCTGCATGGAGACCATTGTATTGAGGGTTTGGCTCTGTGATGGCCTGGTGTCCTGATCTCTTGTTCACTCCTGTGTCCCGATTATAGTCCCCCCCTCCTTAAGGGTGCTCCAGCCCTTTCACTTAAGACTTTATTCTGCGCACCTGATTCCTATTCCCAGCCCACCTTAAAAGCCAGTCGCTGACGCTCATCCGGGCTCTGCATCTGATTTCCGTATCGTGCGAGTCCGGGACCTGGAAGCGCCTGGTCCTGTTAAGGTTTTAATCTCGGTTCCCGTTCCTGTTCCCTTCGTGTTTTTAATTCCTTGTTCTGATGGATCTCCTGGTTTTGGACTTACCCTTGTGTTTTGGATATTCCCTAAGGACTACTCTTTGGGATTGTTCGCCTCGGCCACACCTCCCCCGTGCACCAGCGCACCTTGGACACGCCCCCCTGTCTTCAGCCCTGTATTCCTGCATGACGTTTCCCTAGTGTTCCCCCACTTCGTCAGATTGTGTCGTCCGCATAGGGTCCAGAAAGAACTGTTCGTTACATCCTGTTCACTTCACACTATAGAGACCAGGATCAGCTCTGGCCTGATGTCTCATTCTGGGTCGGGTGTGATCTACCTCTCCACGTGAAATCTCCAAAACTCAAAGACTGACCTGTGAGTGTCTGAAGTCACCACGGTTGAGAAATGCTGGGCTAAACAACACTGAAGTTAATGTCAGTCCTGTCTTTCCTAAAAACTATTTTTAATATGAGTGAGAAGCCTATACAACCAGCAGTAACTGCAGATGTATGGCCAAGGGTCTTTCATGCAGTTTTTTGTGCACATAAGCAGCCGGCTATAGTTCTTTCTCGAGTAACTTGCTTTTGGCTGTGCCACACCCTCTCTCACCATGAGGAGAAATGCAGATGACCTGGGACGATGGCATTTGCAAAGGTCGTGTCAGCCTGGAATCTGTGATCTGAGTCCTTGATCACATTCATGGGACTGTGGGAACCTTTCTCCTGCCACATGGCTCAGGGCTTGTAGAGCCTGTCATTATAGAAGCATGTATGAAGTTGAAATACATGTCAGATGTACTGTTTGGCAAAAAACCTAAAAAATCCCATTGTATGCCTTGACCATGTAACTGGCACTCTTGTGAGACAAATATATTCACCTTCCTAAATCCTACCTCAAATGTGTTTAATCTCTTCATTATGATCTGAGCTACTAGCAGACATTCAAACCTGTAGCTGATAAAATTGCTGTCAGTGCACAGGGCTTTGATTGTCTGGGTAAAACTGTGCAAAACTCTGTTCTTTTACCTGTGTGCAATCTACAGTTACTGCAAATGCACAACCAGGGGATTTCAGCAGGTCTTTGGTTTTTGTGCACATCAGCAGGCTGCACTAACACCTCTTTCTCTATTAGCTTGCTGTGGCCATTGCCTCACCCACTATCACGTGATTGTTGAGAAATGTACATCCAGAGAGGGGTAACTTTTCCCAGGGGCTAATATGTGCAGATCAGTGGCTCTGTCACATTGTAAATCAGTCTGCTGATGTTTTTTGTGATATAGACAGTTCCTTCTTCGCGGTGTCTTTCTAGTGTCAGTCTCAGCCTTCTGTTCTATATCTGTCTGTTGGTCTGTTGTTTGTTCTTGAGTGTGGTCTCAGGGTCAATAGCAGGATTTGCAAAATTCATGTCAGTGAGTGTCCTGTACAGCAGTTGGATATACTGTAGTTATACTCCTTCACTCTTTGCAATGTTTCGTGATGCAGTTTGTCTGCCCAGTTCTTATTTTCCTTACCCTTTACATTAATTTCTTTTAGGGGTTTGTGCCTGTATGTTGGTGCAGTGGGCAGCATCGCTTTTCAGAATAGTTTGCTGTGTACATAAAAGCATGTGGGGTAGATACTTCCACATGAAAGTCTGCCTGGATGCAGATAGCAGCTCGTTCCACGAGAATGATCAAGTTATAGTGAGTATGAAGAAGCGATACATAAAAGAAGAATAATATGTTTAGTATAAGATCAGTTACACTAACTCACTTATCAGTCTCATTAACATAATCAACATTCAGGTGCTCATAACTCACAACTGTTACTTAAAAGAATTGAATTGGTATCAGTTTGTGTTAAAAGGAGTGAATTCCCACGGGCAGTAATGATGAGTAATGATGGATATTGAGTTATACTCATCCACAACCATGTTTTCATAACTCCTGTGTAGAAGGATGGGGAACAGAGATGGGCAGGGACCTTTTGGTGGGCAGTGGTTCAAAAGGGCAGAAGTGATACTTTCTGGGGCAGGATTTGTTACTTTAGAGTATCCTGGATACAAACCAGTGCCCGCTTGTATTTCTTAGTTTTCTAATTCTACAGGAAGTTTGGATGTGACTTCAGAGGCATTATAATATTCACAACCTTGGCAAAAAATGGTAGTTCATAATTGCTGATTATGTTTGATTAACAGACAAGATACTAGACGCCCTCTACCGAGCATATACTTTGTTTCCCTAATATAACACAACTTAACAAGAGGACAGAACAAATAAAAGAATTACCATCTAATTACACAAAATACCAATTGCCATCTCTTTCCATCTGAAGAGCAAGAGATCACATGATAGGAGATTTTTTTTCCTCAAAACTGTCTATTATGGGACAAATATTCATGAAGTCGCTAGAAATTATCATCTGCCATCTTAAATAAAAAGATACAGATCATTTACTTGTCTTATATATCTTGTGCATTATATCTCTATTGAAATTGCTTAATATACAGTACACTACTAAAAGGTTAATCATTATTTTATACAGACGCAGCCATTCAAAACACGTGGGGTATTTCGCAGTACACCGCGGTGGGCGTGTCGCATGAAAATGCAGTATCACGCAGTGTATCGCTTCATTTGACGTCATGCCGGAAAGTATCCAGAATCACCTTGTAAAACTGCCAGGAGGAGCCAATAAAGCTTAACCTCTCATGTACAGCATTTGAGCTTTTAAATTTAAAC